AGTAAGTCAAGTTATGCTTATTTATTTTAAGTGTAACTTTTAATTATAGTCATGGTCGTTATTATGAACCTATAATTAAGATTTATCAGTGATTCCAAGTTGTTATATTGAGTGATCTACTTACGGGAGTGATGTCTAGGCTCGATTTAGTGGGGTGTTTAAAGTAGGCTTTCCAAACAGTATACTTTGTATACCAAACGGACCCAACCTCATATATGATCCTACGTAGTTGTTCCTTAGTTGGTAGATTTTTATGTAGACATTAAGATTAGTGAGGAATATAGACTATTATTTAAATAGTGTTAGGGTTATGAAACTAGGCTATGACTTAGTGTTATACATTTAGATCTTTGAAAGGCGTAAAGGCAAAACACTGCCCTAACTTTGAGTCACCTACTTATGTCAGGTGAGTGCATAGTTACTTTCAACTTACACATAGATGCAAGTATTCTAAATGATTAAATACTATGTGCACTGTCTTGTTGTGTTCGTCAAAGAACTCTGGACTTTGAGCCTTATAAAAACCTATGGCGGGACAGAGTAAGGGGGACCTTCGCTTCATTAGAAATTGGACCCGGACCTTCTTTCTTCTCCTCCGGAGCCCTGAATATATATGCACAACATGATATAGTTATTACTTAATCAAACTATATACTTAATAATACGATTGCGTAGTAAAGGGCCGTGTGAAATAATAAAGGAGAGTTTGTGATAGGGTTGTGTGTGTAGTGGCTGCGATAGGTTAGTGAGAGTTGTGTGAAATAATAAATTGTGACTTGTCATGCTTAATCAAAGTACTATTGTACTATCGTGAATGTCGTGTTCATCCAAAGTACTAATGTACCGCCGTGCCTGCCGTGTTTGACTAAAAGCACTATTGTACGGTCGTGCCTGCCGTGTTTGTCGAAACTACTATCATACTGTCATGCCTACTCATCTAGGAAATATAGATAGTTGCGGACAAAGGTCCTTAAGAATGATCCCTTAAGATCATCATACTAGGATTAGAAAGTGAGTATGACGGGAATGGGGTAATTGGGAAATTCAAGGATATTTTGGAGCCAATTCTGTAATAACAAATGTTTTAAATAAGCATACATAGAAAGTTTTAAAAATGTCGTGAAATTGGGGATGTCACATAGAAATCGACCCTGGTCTCGAAGACAAAGATCGATGTTTGTGAAGATGAAAAAGATCAATGATGGGGGTACAACCTAATACCTGAAATTCGAGGTCACAAGTTGAATCACCACCATCATGAAAAAACGAATTACAAATCATAAACCAAATGCTTCAGATCCTAATATACCCAAATTGCTAAGAGAGATAGAAGACATATATTTAATCCTGTTATTGTAGAGCTCCATCTTTGGTTTGATTCAATCATAATACACATCAAGAATGGTAAGGAAAGAAATGGAAGGGAAACAAATGGATCAATTCGTGGGACAACATTTGAAGCGGTGGTGGAATCCTAACACTACAAACGTTGGTCCAAAGGTCAATGGTGGTCCAAGAAGCAGTGGTGGGTCGCTAACACGACATTCAATGTAGGGATTGAGTAGCGGTGTGGAGCCCTAAGCTCTGGTATCACCCCTTCTTATTGTCAAGGGGGAAGAAGGTGGTGATGTTGATGGATGAGAGGCAATTAGGCTTTCTGGCGAGAGATATTGATGTCCAGAGTGCAATGGTAAAGAGTTGGCTGAGAGCTTTCCGGCAAAGGTAAAGGAGGGGGATCTTTTTGACGAAGGTATGGGAGGGGGTGGGGGGGGGGTGAAGGAGTGTGTAGTGGTAGTAGCCGATTGTTTTTGGAAGAAATCGATCGATGATGATGATTAAGAAACGATGGGTAGGGTGAAGGTAACGGGTGGGACCCAATTGTTTTTAATAAATAAATAAGTAATAAATAATTAACAAATTAAAAGAGAAATAAAAAGGGCAAAACAGTCTTTTTATGTCCGGTAGAGACCAAACGCACACCAAAATTACATTTTAGGGACCACCCGAGTTAAGAAAAAAATTAGGGATCAAACACGTAAATTACTCCACATCACAAGGACCATTCGCGTAATTTACTCTTTTTTTTCACAACAATGCCCCCTCACCACTTCCGGGTTTTCATTTTTTACAAATTTGTACAGACTTTAATTATTTTTACAAATTTTGTACAAATCTCTTATTATTATTATTTTCTTTAACTTTCACCTATCATACTTTCGTTATTTACACTTTTAGCTCAAATGCCAATTTATTTTTACAAATTTGGTGTAAAATGTTTTTACAATATTTGCTGAAGTTTTTCTTTATAATCTTTCATCAACTTTTTTTACAACCTAATTTCTTTTAACTTAATTTTTTTTATATAAAACGCTAATTTATCTAAATTTATTTTTACAACTTTGGTTAATTTTTTTAAATAAATATGTTTTTTTTCTCAAATTCATGTAAACATTTACAATTTGTTTCCAACTCTTTTATAACTTTGTCTTTTAGTTTCTTTAAAATTAGTTTCACTTTTTAAATTGGACTTTTACATCTTTTTTTTTAAGTTTGTTTTTTGTTTAAAAATTTTTTACATCTTTGTTTCATGTGTGATTCTTTTAACATTTTTTTTCGTTTTTAAAAATTGACACTAAGCTTCTCTCTAAAAATTTTGCATAAAAAATTTTCCACAACATACAGAAATGATCAACCAACTAGTTTAATACAAATATAAGTTAGATAGACAACCTAAATATCACCAACATCTACTATAAACAAAATTAATATATCAAAATATACAACAAAATATATTTCAGTTCAGATAATAATTTAAAAACGAAATAATAAGATTAAAATGGTGACACATAGCTATGAGTCAGATTTACCATATAAATTGATTTTCCGAAATGCAAATCTGAAATAATTATCCAAGACAAAATTGCAAAAATGGTCCTTGTGGTTGTCAAAAATCTGTGACTTTGGTCCAAAAAAGTTTGGTGGTGCATTAGTGGTCCAATTTTGGATACCTCGTATGCTTTTGGTCCCTATGGTTTTCATTTTTTGTGGTTTTAGTCCATACCCTACTTTAAATGATGAAAATGCCCTTAAATATATATTTTTTAAATTTATTTTAGTTAGTTTATTATTATTTAATTAAAAAACCAAAAAAACCACTTACCCACCCCACCCCTCCTAATTTCTTTTTAATCTTTGGAACCACCATCCACTCACCACCACCGTCGGATCATCGACCTCTTCACTGGAACACCACCATTCTCATTTAACACCTACTATATCACATTCACTAGAACCAGCATAGACCACCCTTATACCGCCACTAACAGCCACCAGCATCACATCAAGATCCAAAAATCGAAAATGGTTCGATAAATCAAAATTATCCATCGAAATTGGAGGAAGGGAGAAGTATGGAAGGACTAGAAGTGGATTAATCGGTGTTTGGATGAACATGATTGGTTCCGGTGGTAGGTTTATTTCGAATGGAGAACAAGATGAACAGTGGTGGTTTTTCATAGCAATGGTGGCGGTGGTGGTTGATGAGATTTGTCACCCCTCTGTCCCACCGACGTTCGTCTCCCTAGCTTTGTTTATGCATAGAAATCCAACCCCCACTCCCTTATTGAGTCACCGTCTTCCCCACATCACCTTAACCCTAAAACCCAAAATTGCACCACCATTATCAACCTTGCTCCACCATCTCATCAGTCGAGATCCAACACCAACGTGATTGTCCACCATCTTCACACTTCATCATCATCTCCTTCAGATAGCAACACAACTGGTAATGAAGGGTATATCGATTTCCTTGTAAACCGGAACCTAAGGGTTGGGCAGAAGAGTACTCGAAAATGGTGGACTGAAATTCTAGTTTGGAGGCGCCGATGATGGTCACAAGGTGCTCTAACTTGACCACCAGTTTTGTGGTTTAGGGTTTGCAAACCCTAGCTCCTTCGACAAAAAAATCTATGGCAAATGTGATGGGGGCGAACAGCATGAGAGATAGAATAGGGTGAAAGATCATATAATGATGATATTAATGGTTTCCGGTGAGATATGCGGCGGTTGTTCCAAACAGAGGGTTCGCCGGAGGGTGGAGATTAATGAATGGCTTCTCTGTTCCTGATAAAAATGGAAACGGGAGAGGGAGGGGGTTTATTGGTTATTTATTTATTTTCTTTTTTTGTTTCAAGTTAATAAAAAAAGGAAAAAGTTAATTATAAGGGCAAAAATGTCTTTTTAAGAGTACAGGGACCAAAATTACTAAAAAGATTCAGAATTGGACCACTCACGCACCACCAAATCTTTTTGGACCAAAACCACATTTTTTGTCAACCACAGGGACCTTTTTTGCAATTTTTTCATTATCCAACATGGTATATATAGAAGATACCATAATTATGAGACAAAACTACACAAATGGTCCCTGTGGTGTGTCGAAAAATGCCACTTTGGTCCAAAAAGGTTTGGACTAGCGTTAGTGGTCCAAAACTTTCATTTTGTTGCGTCTTTGGTCCAATCTGTTCTGATTATTTTCAAAATGACGGATCTACCCCTGTCAATATGATTTTCTCTTTTTTCTTATTTGTTTTTCTATTTTTCTGATTAAAAAAAAAACAAAAACAAAAATAAATCTCTCTCTAAAACAAGAAAATAAAAATCTTTCTCTCTCTCTCTCTCTAACTCTCTGACTTTGTGAAAGTTAACTTTCCCCTTTGAAGTGGTGCATGAAATCCTTTCCCTCTGAACTGAAATGGTGGTATACTGGAAGAGTGAAAGAGACCGAGATGGTTGTTTGTTCTTGGACTAAGCCCGTTGCGGCCATAAAGCACCGTTCCTTCACCATTGTTGGAAAAAAACCTCACCATCTCGCCTCCTTTTCCCTCCATCTCCCTGAATTACTGTCAAGGATTGAAGAGGGAATCAAGGGCAGTCAAGAGCTACCACCCTCGATCACCCACTGCCATCGTGACCCACCACTATCCAACATCCCCTGACCTTTAACCTATTTCCCCTTCCTTCTTCGTTTTTTTCTGAATTGATAAAACCACCAATGAAGGTGGAGACTTTCTGGCAAGGAAGACAACCAGCAACCACAGATTTCGGCCACCACCAGGCCCCTCTTCACACCCATTCACTTTCTCCGCCGATTCCGACCCGATACATAGTAACCAGAGCTGCTGGAACGGACTCCGACCACCACAGTAGATCGTCGCCGCCGCCTTGCTGCTCATCACCGATTCCGACCAGATACAGAGGGGCGTAGGGCACTTCAAATTAACCCCTTCGTTTTGCAAGGCGAAGAACAACAACACACCCATGAACGTCGTCCCTGCATCCAACGCCGCCGATTAGAAAAAGCCATATCAAATTTCTATACAAACCTCCGGAACCAAAGATTCGCTCAGGTCCGATGACTCCCCAAATCACAAAAGTATCAAATGTAACTTTGAATTTGGGGGATGTCCATGGAATTTCGGGATGAAGCTCCGCAGGATTCAACATCCCTACAACTAGGGTTCCGACGAGTTGAGTTGTGAACATGCATCGAGGTGGGATCTTCATGTGGTGTCAAGAGGTTGGTGGTGTCCGATGGGATTCCACAGCAGCGGCGACGGAGGGCGGCAATGGCAGCCCTGCTGCTTTTGCTTTCCTGTTCCGACGGGTTTGACGAGAGAGAGAGAGAGAGAGAGAGAGAGAGAGAGAGAGAGAGAAAGAGGGTGGGGTTTGGTGGGTTATTAGCTGTACATTTATTTTTTATTTTTTTAATCTGAAAATCAGAAAAGCAAATAAGAAAAAAAGAAAATCATATTGATAGGGGCAAATCCGTCATTTTGAAAAAAGACTTAATAGATTGGACCGAAAAAGCAACAAAGTGAAAGTTTTGGACCTCTGGTGCTAGTCCAAACTTTTTTGGACCAAAGTGGCAATTTTGAGCAAACCACAAGGACTATTTGTGCAGTTTAGTCTAATTATGAGCAACCTTCTAAATAACGTTAGATATGATTCGGCGACAATGTTAAGCCTCAAGTTTTTTCGAGCCGTGACGACTCACATCGTTTGCAAGGCGTGACTTAAGGCGATAATTTTGTATATAATTAATAATTTTATGTATATTTTCCACCATTATTCATTTCTATATACATATATAACTTAAGACGACATTTTGTTAAACTTTGATGACAAATACAAGCCTTGGAGCCATGACAAAATAATGATAAATATTTTAGAACCTTGATTACTCATGATTATAAATAAGATGAATCATATGAATTTCCCGTAAAACACATGGGTCCGAAATACCATGTGTTTAAGACTCTTAGTTTCTAAAAAGAAAATGATTATTTCATTAAAAATATAGTTATTTACCTCAATTTCCTTTATTTTCTTTATAAATTGATTTGTAGATAAAATGTAAAAAGAAAATGATTATTTCATTAAAAATATAGTTATTTACCTCAATTTCCTTTTTTTTTCTTTATAAATTGATTTGTAGATAAAATAACTTACGTTTTAAAGTTCAAAACGAAAATCCATTCTCCAAGATTAGTACGAGTGTTGAAGGCGTGGGAGAGCATACCTTCTATAATATTCCCTACGATTGTTGCTTTTTGTTGACGTAGAAACAAACCCCCAAAACCTCACTCCAATCATCATCAACACAAGCAAATCCGCCATAGCAGCAATGAGCAACGAATAGTCGGTTTCGCTTTCTCCTTCTACTTTCTCGACCTATGTTTCATCCCACTCTAATTTTCCATTTTTGTTTACTGTGATTTTGTAGCGATTATCTCTTCAAACTCCTGCTCATTGGAGACTCTTCTGTTGGAAAATCATGCCTTCTTCTCAGATTCGCTGTATGAATTTCAACTGATGTCTTTACTTAGTTTCATAATAATTCCCCCTCTCCCCGTTCTGCAATCAGTTTCTGGATGAAAGTTTCTGTGTAGTTGACCTCCTTGGTTTTTTGTAAAGTTGAAGGGTTTCTTAATTCAATGGTTTTAATGTTTTCGGTGTATATATACATACACGCACACATATGTTATGTATGTATGTCTATGTATCGAACTTCTGTATTTGCACATTGGTGTTGCTTAGTTAGAGCATCCACTGGTTGATTTCTCACTCCTTCTGTCTAACCAATTAGGGAATAATTAATTAGGAGAATGATTTGGGAAACCTATCATCGTCCTCGACGTTTTCGAAATTTAACATCTTCGATTTTGGCATATTTAAAAATTGAATTATTTTCTGAGTTATTAATTGAATTTCTTTGTAATATTTACCGATTTGCTCTTCATTTCAGTACGATTTGTTGATTCTAATGATTTTGTTCCACAAGGTGATCTTATATCATCTCGATTAGAGGACATTCGACTAATACTCCAATAATTTTGCAAAACCACGTCCTTGCCATTACCATATTAGAGTTAGTATCATCTTTACAGGGTATATCATATTGAATGTTCAATAAAATGACTGCAAATGTTGTCCATGTAATTAGGCTAGGCATGCTTTATGCCTGAATACATTTTTTTCTTCAGGATCTTATGGTGGTTGTCCTCTTAATTTCAGGATGATTCTTATGTTGATAGTTACATAAGCACCATTGGAGTTGATTTTGTAAGTGTTCTCCCTCTATCTCTTTATGTGTATGTATATGTGTTTGCTTTTACATTATCACACTATGATCAAGACTTCTTTTAGTTTTTGAGGTCTGATAAAATTACAAATTCATGCTTCAGAAAATTAGGACTGTGGAGCTGGATGGGAAGACAATCAAGCTGCAGATTGTGAGTATTGTTTCTTGCACATACTTTTGGACTTTAAATATAGTTTATTTCAAGAATCATTAGGCCAAAGTCACTTTCATTAAGTTTATCACTGTTAAATCGATGAATATTATGTAATATTACTTTTTTTATAAAATCTTTCTCTTGATACAGTGGGATACTGCTGGCCAGGAGCGGTTTCGTACTATAACAAGTAGTTACTACAGAGGAGCACATGGGATAATCGTAAGAATTACTTTTTATGATTTATTAAAAGTTTCTTAAAAAAGCTTCATAATATTTTCATTGTCATTCACTCATTTGTATAGATTACAGTGTCCATTCCATTGTAATAAACTGGATTGCAACACAATTGTAACACTCATCTTGTATGTGTAAATTTAATAAAAGTAGATTACCACCCTCAAAACCCCCTTGTTAACCTAAGTTAAGATTAAAATTGAGATAAATCTTTTGGGCTAAAACATATGAAAATTACTATTTTTGTAATGATTCCACGGGGAATGTAGGTATTGTTACTTGGTAAAATTTTCTAAAGAAGGAAAATGTCGCAAATCTTGAGGAGTTATTAAATTGCATTTACTTTTTCTGCCCAATGCATTCATACTGAAAGCTGTGGGGAGAACCCATGTGATAAACCATTAAAATTTAGTGTCCCAAAATATAAAATTGGATATTATTGAGCTAAAAAAAGAAAGTGATGACTTTTGGTTATAGGTAGCATTATAGTTTTGACTTCAAGGTAACCTTTTTCCAGTCATTTTTAAGTAACTACTTCAATTAAACAATGAATTTAGCCATTTGGAAAGGTAACTGTATTGAAATAATATAAAATCATAATTCTAATTCCCATTTGTTTGCATGTTTTAAAACAATTGATACAGATTGTGTATGATGTCACTGATATGGAAAGCTTCAATAACGTGAAGCAGTGGCTAAGTGAAATCGATAGATATGCAAACGAATCAGTCTGCAAGCTTCTTGTAGGAAACAAATGTGATCTAGTTGAGAACAAGGTTGTTGACACACAAACAGCCAAGGTATTATTGCATACTTTTATAAATTTTTGGTTCCATTAAGTCATTCCATCTGTTTTAAATAAAAAAGGAACACCAATATATAGAGCTTAATGGATTAAGTCATGTCCCTTCAGGCATTTGCAGATGAGCTTGGGATCCCTTTCCTTGAGACCAGTGCAAAAGATTCGGTCAATGTGGAACAAGCTTTCTTGACAATGGCTGCTGAGATTAAGAAAAAGTAAGACTAGTAACTATGAGCGGAGTTATTGGAGGGTATTTTAGTCTTTTTGGTTAGGGTTTGAGGTTTGCTTTTCTAATCTTTGTTTGAAATTACAGAATGGGTAACCAGACATCAGGTGGCAAGAAGTCAGGAAGCACTGTTCAAATCAAAGGGCAGCCAATTGAGCAGAAGAGCAATTGTTGTGGTTAATATTGTATTTTGGGTTTATGTTGATGCTCAAAGGATGTAGTATGAAATGACTCTTTTCTCCTTGTAAAATGTTGCAGACTTTTAACCAAACCCCATCAACTTCTTTGTGTTATCTTAGCTTTAACTCCTGTTAAATCTTTGATAACACTTTTTCCATATCAACTGTCACATGATTTGATTGCATTTGTTACTAAGACATGACTCACAAGTTTTCTTGGGCCATTTTGGTGATGATGATGATAAGGGCATTTGCGTCTATTGCATAAATGAGTGTTTGAAAGCTGAGTCTATGCCACATTGTTCCACCTTTTTTGGATTAAAAAATAACATTTTTTTTTTGTATATTTAAATCAGTATGTTCCAATCTGATGCATGCCAAACAAACCATAATATGTTATGTATTGTTGTCTATTATTTCATCAGTTACTATCGTGAAAGATGTAAATAAGATACATCTAAACACGAGGGTTGTCACAAATAGCAAAATACATGTTGGAATTTTAATCAAATCCTTTTACCTTTCCCACAAATACAAACATAACCAACTTTATGACACCACAAGGCATTAAGCAAAAAGGGAACACTTATATATAGCTTATCGAATTACATTTTGTCAATTGTCACTTTAAGTCCAAGTAAAAAAGAAACACCTAAAATGCAATGAAGATAGAATACATGAATTCATTTGTAAGAAAATTGAAATCAAAATAGAAATCAACTACAATCCGTAATGTACCTCATGCTTAACCACACAAAAACCAAAAGAAAAAAAAAACTCAGAATTCAACAAGACAAAATCCAAACAAGTTTCCAACCCAACAAAACAGTCATGAGGATGAACAACAAGTCTTCTTGGTATTACCATCCTGTGCTCCAACAACAAGAGTCTCACCCTGTTTAATGCTAGAAGGTCCAGACTCTCCACCAGATATAGATTTCTTGCTAATAATCCTATAAATCTCACCAAGAATCGTTTGAAAAGACTTCTCAACATTTACAGCTTCTAAAGCAGATGTCTCAATGAACGAAAGCCCTTCTCTCTCTGCAAAACTTTGAGCATCTTCTACTGCAACAGCCCT